ACCTAAAAGTAGGAATAATGTGCTTGAACGACACGACACGACGCGCACGCTTTTCAACCTCTCAAATTAAACGATTCTATGCTATTTATAGAGGGAGAAGAGGGGGAAACAACTCTTGCCGAGAGCGTGATTATGATCTTAGTTCTATTCCTGAAGAGTTGCTACCGTACTTTATGATTCACTTCGCATCCTTGAAAAATCATTACCATTGTCCTCACGTCATGGTTTTCAATAAAAGCGTGCAGTGCAGTGGAAGACACCCCAGCAATTATGAGAGAAAAAAAGCAGACGATAAGAAAAAAAATAGCAAAAAGAGCAAGCGTGCAAAAAAGATTTAGTGCTGATTATATAAGGCTTTTAAAACAAAGTTGTTATTTATCCGTGTCTGCAAGCTTAGCAAAAGAATATTCGAAGTATCAGCTTCTTTAGTTTTGCTTTATTTCAATTAAGCGTGTACTCGTGTTTTATTTCTGCACAGCAAATTCTAATGGACTGGTTCGTCTATGAAAATTGACAGTAATCCTCAGGGTGTTGTCCACTTAATTTTGCTGGTGAATGTTACTTTATGAAATTGTCACTGAAAATGTTTTACACTCACATTGACAATTTTTTAAAACCCTATCCGTACGTTCTGGGGTCATTTTGTACCCCCGGGATTGTATTCTTCATTTTTTTGAATACTTCTAGTACGATGATCTCTTTGACACTTACAGTATTTCTCAAAAAATCCTTTTGACAGACTGCTATGCAAAGCCTACGGATCGGATTAACAAGTACATTTCCACTTTGGAAAGAGTCCCCCACGTCGTTTGGATACGATAGTAAAACACGACGTACGGATAGGGTTAAGAGATGGGATGCTTTTGACTCTGCAGAAAACTTTGCTACAAGTTGAACTAGCTTTTGTGTATCTAGATGGGAGAAAAAAAGAGAGAGAGAGAGAGAGAGAGAGAGAGAGAGAGAGAGAGAGAGAGAGAGAGAGAGAGAGAGAGAGAGAGAGAGAGAGAGAGAGACTGAGACAGAGACAGAGACAGAGACAGAGTTAGGTAGACAGACAAACACAGCAGGGTAGATAGATATTTCCAACAGCCATTATATGTAGAGTAAGTAAATCTCTCACAAGTAAATATCTAGTGCTCTCAGTAATGTTGAAAAAGTAGTGAGTGGAGGGAGGGGGGGGGGGGGTATTTGTTTTTTGAATACGCACAACTGGCTAGACCTAAACAATTGGATAAAAATAATTTGGGTCATATTTTATTTTGTCACCGGAAATAGAAACCTGGCTAAAAATAATAGTAGAGACAGGAAGTCGGAAGTCTTCAAATCGAAACACACGTGCGATTGCCTGGCTTGGGTCGTCGAAAACAAAACACGAGACTGAAAAGAAGTTAAAGTTTGCAACAGCATGGCTCCCCCTGGTATGTATAATTTGTATATATTTTAAATGTGAAATTGGGTACTTCTGAGGTGTGGGCGATATGTGGTTCTGGAGTCTTCATGAAAGAGGAATTGTTTTTTATCTCGACGTCAAAAATTGCCATTCTTTCTCAGTCAGTTCAAATACCGGTCCGCCGAGTATGAGTCGAGTGTACTGTGTACCCCTTGTTTGTGAGAAGTTTCCATGCAAAGCACTCCACACTCTAGATCTAGATCTAGGTCTGTTTAAAACAAGGTCGTGCAGGCTAGATTTCTACTCTGAGGCCCCTACTCTAGCTTAGTAACTGACTCAATCACTGAAGCAGCAAGTTGGGCACGGACAAGGCAGTCTCACTCTCAGCTCGGCTCATGGTCATGACAATGTCACAATGAGTGACAATGCCATGAGTTTCATTTCGTTGTGAAATTTCATGTGTGGTTGAATGAAAAAGCGGATAATTAGAGAATGTCAGATGGAGGTCATTGGCCAATATTTATTGAAGAGGCTAGCCGTACTTAATGACGGCTAGTGGTTGGCTAGCCGTATTTAAAGCTAAGTAAGTAGCTAAGTACGGCTAGACAGCTGGGCTAACCGTACTTAGATCTAAATCTAGATCTAGATTAACCCTAGAAGCGCTCAGCGTTTCACCGGAAGTAACCCGCCAAAAATGCCCGCCGCCACGGCCGATCAGTTGTAAACATGGGGGTTTGGCGGGGGGGGGGGGGAATCAGCTGAGTTTACACACCCGAAATGTATAGTATAGAGGCCTACCTGCTACTGAAAAATGACCATTTACGGCTCAACAGATGATAAAAAGCATATATTTTCTTTAAGCTGATAGAATAAGCCATTTAAAAATGATCAGTGATCAAATAAATACAAACAAAGCCGAGAACGCGATAGACTCAACAATTAGTAAATCAGCGCGGCGAAACAAGTGATAAAACATAGATCTAGCGTGTAGTCGCTCAGCGGGACCGCGTCACTTTATCGATCGTTCTCGGCCAAGAGACGCTCTACGAGGTCAAGATAAAAATTGCAAAGTCATTGGTCACTCTTTATAACTTGGCCACCTCTATTCTCACCCGGGGTGAGAATAGTGCAGGCGAGTCTTTTGGCTATTCTCACCCGGTGCGCGTTCACCGTTATAGCCTAGATCAAGGCCAACAAATTTTGCGTTCACCCTAAACCACAGAATTCTACACTGTGATAACAGATAAATTGTAGAATTCTGTGCCGTGAACAAACGTTCCATTACAACTGTAGCCTACTAAAAGCGTACAATTTTGTCTGTGGGCAGTGGAGAGAGAGGAGTAGCGCGAGAACTTCCGGTCAAAACAAAATGGCGACCCGCGTAGTTGGGCTCGATTCGAAAAGTTAAATAGCCGTAGCATCTTTATAGACAACTATATTAATTTACTTTTGTGTTTTAACATCATTTTTTAACTTTGTTTTTGATCGTCCACACCGATAGACAGTATTCAGAGAGAGGGGAGGGGTAGATCTTGCGAGAACTTCCGGGCAAAACAAAATGGCGACCCGCGTAGTTCGGCTCGATTCGAACAGTGAAATAGCCATAGCATCTTTGAAGACGATCAAATTAGCTTACTTTTGTGCTATAACGTAATTTTTTCTTGGCTTTTATCAATTTGATCATCCACACCGATAGACAGACAGTATTCCAAAATGAGGAAAAGCAGGTCTTGTTTCGCACCGGGTGAGAATAGCCTACGCTGGCAAGTCTCGAGGTAGATCGTTTTTCTATTCTCACCCCGGATGAGAATAGCGACTTCCTTATTATAACTTATAGTTGTAATTGACTGCGTCATTTTCCATAGGAATACTGGAATTTTCCATTGAAAAAGGTCGGCGTCTTTACATGCCTTTTATCCTGCGCGCTTCCCGGTCGAAGTAGGTCAGCCCTGTATATAGGGCGTGCGCGCTTCCTGGGTAGCCCGGCTCACGCCCTTTTTATAGGGCCTGCGCACTTCCAGGGTTAATATGATGGCTAGACTGACCATTTTAAAAAAATAGGCCTACTGAATTGTAGATATATAAATTTTTAGTTTACAGTAAGTACCTAAAGTATTTGTATTTGAGACGAAACCAGGTGCCTTAATGACTGCATGTATTTTAAACCTCTTGTTTTCTAATGTTAATAATAATAGGGCTTAAGATAAGTACTGCTAGACTTCCTGGCTAGCCATACTTAAAGTACGGGTAGACAGCCAGGCTAGCCGTACTTAAAATATTGATGGCTGAATTGTAAATGAAATTTTTAGTTTGCAATGCCTAAAGCATTTGTATTTCAGACAAAACCAAAAGGTGCCTTACTGACTTGCATATTTGAACCTGAATAATTACTAGCCTAGATTTAATGAGACCTGTGTACTTAACAGGTTTGAGTCGATATGGCCAAACCTAGATCTAAGTACGGCTAGACTCTTGGGCTAGCCGCACTTAAGTACGGCTAGCCACTTAGAATATTTATAGTAACAGCCATCTTGTTTGACGTCATTGAGGGATTCCCACTTTGTTGTCAGTCATGGTGGCAACACGACCGCACAACGGCAGCCTGCCGACTCGGATTAGATCTTGTCGATCTATTTTCTTTGCAACTTGCAGGACTGTTCAGTTCAGTTGTCTGTGATTGTGCAGCACCTTTCTTCCCTCCCAGATCTAGATCTATGTGTAAATTGAGAAGAAGAAGACTTAAGATTAAGAGTAGGCCTACTATTCAGTTTGGCTGCCATCATACGGTTGTTTTGCCGCCTTGACTGACAACAGACGTCAAAGTGGGAATCCCTCGATGACGTCAAACAAGATGGCTGTAAGGCCTAGATCCAGATAAATATCAGCCAATGACATACATCTGACATTCTCTAATCGGGACTAGTCGAGTTGTGAGGTCCCGGCTCAGGGGGCGGCCATTTTCGCAAAATTAGTCAGGGAATCTCCAGATTGGGCGTTTTTTTGCCGGTTTTGGCCCCAAGAGTAGGCTAGGGGAGTTTCAAGGGGGCCTGCGCCCGCCCCTCCCCCCTGAATTTTATCATAATTTGATGTTTTGCACAGATAGGTTTTTTGTTCTCTCGCTCGCCGAGCATCAAACATAGCCTATAGGCCTTATAGATTTAGTTCTCGATCAAGGCTCAAATGCAGGGTGGGATCTTCCGAAAATGCACCCAATCTGGAGATCCCTTAACTAATTTTGTAGCAATGCCCACCGAGCGCTTTTTGTTCTTCCGATTTTTGGGCGCCACCTCGGGGGTGTTTCATGGGACGAACCAACACCTGGCTGTTGTCTTCAACTCGCTCTCATGCCGCTTCTCGTTAATGGATATGAATGAAACTTGGCAGCCAATCAGAAAAGAGGTCAATCTCATAGAATGCAGATTGACAAGTTTGTACCCATCCTAGAAGCTGTTGGAAACGTTTGCGAAAGTGTTTGTTGTGGTGCATTTTGAAGATTTTTTGGAGCTGTGATTTGTCAAACTGACTGATCAGTTGTACACCATTTTTCTTTATTCCCTTAAAATTTCATGCTTATTATATGTGTAGCAGTTTTTGCGTAATTTTTAAAAAATGTGGGAGTAACTAAGCATTAAAAGTGGCGTTACCATTTGCACATGCTGGTTGAACGACCGGTGGCTAGGAAAATTCCACTGAGTGACGCCATCGGTCGCCTCGAGCGCTACAAATGAGGCCCCGCTTGGCGTGAACCGGACAGGGGGGGAAGGGTACTTGAAAACTAAACGGGGGCCTTGCATTTGTGTTGCATTTTAGTCCAAATACAATGTGTAGTCATTTTTATTTGCTTAAAATAGCTTGAGAGAACAACAATAGAAACAGAAAAGCAAACATCTTGAGAAGTGGTTATGGCCTTGTGTTTGCGTTATGAAAGCCTATTCCCCCCTTTTGAGAAAGCACACATTTGGACTCATCCTGTTTAGCTCTGTTTGGAAAAGTGAGGCAGTAAGATTGTTATTAAAGAGAATGGTACTTATTATGTCCAGTCTGGGCAGATAGTCTCGTTTATACATTGTTATTGTTCGCGCGTGTGTGTTTGCGTGTGAGAGAGAGAAGGGGGGGGGGGGGGTG